AAAAAAAAACACACACAAATCTACTTTATATCAGGTTTCAAATAATGCATTATTGCACTCTTATTGCTGTACTGATTTAGAAATATTCCTGTAAGATAGCAACATTATTATTCGAAGCACACATTATCTTTGCCACCTGATATAAAATGTACCCATTAATTAATGTAAAATATCTCAAATGTGTGTGTGTGTGTGTGTGTGTGTGTGTGAACAAAAATACTTGAGCTGAAAAACAGGTTTATGAGCAGATACACAGTTTGTATTTTGCTCTCTTTACCTTTTCAGTTGGATCACCTGGATTTTTTTTTTATCTATTTGAGAATTTTATTCTTGTATGTTGTTTTATACTTGTTTGTTTAGTGTGTGCGGTGCATGTGAATATTTTGTGATTGTAGCACTTTGATATTTAATGGTTTTTAAAGCATCATTAGCACCATAGCCAAACATAAAAAGTAGCCTTTGAAAAGAAAGCAAAAATTCTGTTCAAGAGATTTGAACCTTAGATTCTTATTGTATCTGATTCATATAATGCACTTACATTTCTTAAAGCACTCGCCTTGCAACATTTAGTTAACAAACAAACAAAAATGTTGTTTTTCTTGAAGAGGGCAAAGGCTAATTCAAGTCGCAGAACTGCCTTGGTGCTTCTCAGAGAATCAGGACTTGGAAAATGGATGTTGCCAATACATGAGGCCACTGCTGAGAGAATAAAGAGCCATAAGGGATGATGATGCTGTTACTAGACTATTATTTCAGATGTTTGGTCTTTGCATTTGCTTCAGTATTAGAGAAACTCTTGGCCTGTTTTGTTGGCGCGTAAATGGTTTTGTCTAGTGTGTGATGTGTTAAATCACTGGGTATCATCTGCATCAAACTGTGCTGTTCTATTGATTGTGTTAGAAATGAAATGCTTTAGTCCAGTTATGCTTATAAAATCATTGAGACCGAAGATATGAAACAACATAAAGTCAGTTTGAGTGGAACAGGCTAATCTTGTGCCTGAAATGCCATAATGTCACTTTTTAAAGTATTTGCATATAGTGAAGACTGAACATAGGTATGCAGTCAGAGTTTTCCAATTACGTGAGACATGATAGTCAAGGGACTTCAGGGAGGGAATTTTCAAGGTACAACCCCAATAGGCTTTAACAGTATGTTATACCGGAATAAAACAAACCAATTTAAATCTCAGGGAGTGATCGCAGCACAGAGGCGTTTTTTTTAAAGAATGTTTTCTGGTGTCATGGCTGACATAATGCATTGTCTGTAGCTTGTGCAGCTCACTGCTGAGACATGCATTATATAACTGACAAAAATCAACCCCTGCAGACATGATTTACTCATGTGGCATTACTTAGATGTCTAATATTTATTATAATATATTGTCACTTATTTATTGATTTAAATAAGTCAACCTGAACAGTTATTTCAGAGTGGAGAGAGTGATCTAAAAGTGACAAACTCAATTTGTTTGCACAGATGACTGACACATACCCAATAGTATTATTTTTTCAGTCAAAAGTATACATATTTATACTATTTAGATAATATATAGGTGATAATGGTAGAATATCATGTATTGTTTTTTTGTGGAGTAGAGCTTTTTTGTTGTTTGCTTTCATTTGGATTTAGGTCATAATGGTAATATATCATATATTGCTTTTTTTGTGGAGTAGAGCTTTTTTTGTTGTTTGCTTTCATTTGGATTTATTTTCATTATAGTAGCAGAATTAAGAAGCACGGCAGAGTCATATCATAGTAATCTGGAGGAGGTACCTGAAAATGTTGCACTACTGTTTGCTGTCAGAGTCCTCAAGGACATGATTGCAAACTTTTTTTGGGAACCCTACATGAATTTACCTGCAAATTAGAAAGTACTTTATAGGTGCAGTCTTAGTCTGGCCACTTTCTATTTTCCTCAGGTGTACAGTTCATAACTTTAATGTTGTCTGTACAGATTAAGTGTTTGCTCTTAGACATGCAATGAAGACAATTTAAGACATATGATGAAACAAGATTTAAAAGATTTATACCCCTCAGCTATATGTGCATTGATATCAACAGAAGCTAATATCTGCTTTGTAGCTTGTTAGAAGCGGTTTTAATAAATGTATTTGAATAAAGTTTTGTCACATGCTTGTTTTTTGATCTGTTAAAATACTCTAATGTAATAATGTAAAAATACAATTTAGCTTTGTAAAAGTTTTTGATTGTGACAAACACCAAACCAAAACAACACATCTGAAAAATGAAATGTTGATGGTGGTGTGTTTATCATGCAATGTTATTCACTCACAAATGAAATGATGCAGATCAATGTCATTTACTCACCCTCGTGTCATTTCAAACTTGTATGACTTACTTTCTTACATGGAACACCATTGAGAACATTTCAATTGAGTTGTTATTAAATTATGTTGAAGATGTAAGCACCATAGGAGTGAATAATGACTTCAATTTCAAACTGTTCCTCACACAAAGCTACCGTATGGTGCAGAGTGGCTTTAGAATATGTGGAAGATAGCGCATATCACACATTTAAAATAATTGTTCTATATAAATATATTTTTAAATGTCTTCCTGTGCTGGCAAATCTGTATTTTCAGCAGTCATTACTCCAGTTTTCAGTGTCACATGATCCTTCAGAAATCATTCTAATATGCAGGTGCTCAATAATTTTTATTTTTTTTGTGGAAATCGTGAAAGATATTTCAGGATTCTTTGATGAATAGAAATTTCAAATGAACCGCATATATTTAAAAAAAGAAATCTTTTGTAACATTATAAATGTCTATACTGTCACTTTTAAACAAATCTACTGTGCCCTTGCTGAATATAAGTAATAATTTCTTCAAAAAAATCTTACTGACCCCAAACATTTAAATGTTAGTGTATATAATTTTGTATGCTACCATACTTTGGGGAAAAAAAAGATTTTGTGTTTTAGACAGTCATTCTTTTGACTGTTTTCACTTTGAAACGTATGTTATATTTTCATGTGTTGTTTCTTTTTAGGTACGCCAGAAATGATGCAGATCAATGTCATTTACTCACCCTCGTGTCATTTCAAACTTGTATGACTTACTTTCTTACATGGAACACCATTGAGAACATTTCAATTGAGTTGTTATTAAATTATGTTGAAGATGTAAGCACCATAGGAGTGAATAATGACTTCAATTTCAAACTGTTCCTCACACAAAGCTACCGTATGGTGCAGAGTGACTTTAGAATATGTGGAATATAGCGCATATCACACATTCTAAACTTTTTAGAACGGGTTAATCATACTTTTATGGTGTTTAAAAGCTACAGTCTCCATTAGGACATTCAAAAATTATTCTAATGAATTTCTAGCTGTGTTTGGTGCATCATAATTGGCATAGAAATACATTTTAAATGTATGTTTGATTTTAGTAGATTAGCTTATATACGTTTTTTTTTGTGTCAAAAGTCAAGTTACACATGTGGTTAAGGTTGGTTTTAAACACCTGCTTTAACCCTCCTTCAATTCTTAACACTGAATTCTCTCCTTCTAAAATTCCAATATCATCTTTAACACACAGCTATTAAAACAGTAAACACACTAGCATACATGAAGACAAGAATCAAATAAATAATGAAGGTATTGCAGTGAAACATTTTCCAGGTTGGGCCAATTTACATGAGTTTTAAATGTTATTGTTTTAAATGTAAATATATATATAATCAATTAATTCCATTATTTGTTGGCCAAAACGGGTGTTACATATTTGTATGTTACCTTTTACATTAGCCTGTTGCCATTGGAGCATGTTGTCATAAAGGTACACTTGTTTATTTGGCATCTTTTTCCATTTATTTATATTATTATTTATTTTTTTCTGTGGGTTTTATCTTTTTAGCCAAGTCAAGGTATGTGTTTAGAATACTTGGAGGAAAAAAAATCCAATATTCACTGGAGTAAACACGGTTGAGCAAGGTCTATATGCTTATATAATATTCAAAAATGTATCGATTGGGTTTATATTTGTTCCCTGTAGATGATAAGACCATAATTGAAAGACTTGTGATTTATTACATTTGACAGTTGATAACGCAAGTAATCATCGTCTTTCCTTACAAAATCACAAAAAGAAAAGATGAAATACGTATTGTATTAATTGTAAATATTACAAATACGCTTCATTTGAAAAAAAAAATGCTCTCTGTCTTTATACTCATCTTATCATATTACAACTTGTCTGGCGCAGTTCAAGTCCTCGTTCTGAACAAGCCTCCACATTTGCAGCAGCTCCTGCGGAACGAGTTTGTGCACCACGATGAGGCTACGAAAGAAGCACGGCTCCCGGTTCAGACGAGTCACTTTACGCTTAATGATCCCAAATGTCCGGAAGGCCAGATGCAGCTCGGGGACGATCTTCAGCTTCAGAAGGCACATGCCCAGAAACACATCATCAATGGGGTAAAGCTCCACACTCTCAGAAACCGCAAAGAGCTTGCTGGCCACCAGAGAAGACATGAGAAATCCTCCTCCACCCAAATAAGGTGGATAGCGTTTATCATACAGCTCTTTGGGAATGAAATATTTACTCTGGCGGTTTCTGATCGGTTTGGCTTCGAAAATGGTGTCTCCTACAATGAGGTTTTCCACCCTGTTCTCCTCCACCCTAAAGCCAATTAGTTCCACCAGGTTCTTGGTGTGGACAAAAACGTCATCGTCCCCTTTGAACATTGCGCACCCCTTCTCTCCTGGTTGCGAACTAGACTGGTTCACATTTTTGTCCCAGTTCATTCAGTTTGTTCACGAACTAAATGATTCATTCATTTGGTTTGTTCACGAATGATGGCTAGTTTATTAAAAGGCATATTCGATAAGTGCTGTAGTCGGTCTTTTCAGGCAGAAAAGCAAAAAAAGGGACCTCATTAAACAAAAAAACGTGTCTTAGGATGGGAGTGAACAAAAGTCTAAATCTTTGTTCTAACGAAACGCCACTCAGTAGCACAAACGTAATTTGTGACGGGAAAACGTATGTATTTGTGATCATACAGTGTTCCTCATAAGCTGTGCTCTCTTGTTTCAGATTGTCGATGGGAGCCACAGACTGCGAGTGCGCGGCACTGTCTCTTTAAACGCGCCTGGTGTGAAAAGTTCAGTCAAGGTCAGTGTCAGTCTACCCAGCCCTCTCCTCCCCGCAGTTTCCTTCTGTCGGCTACAGTAAAGCGCTACAATGTAACAAGCTTTCTCACGATGTATCAGCCACGTCTAAAACCGCGCTGATATTGTATTTATTTATACATTTATTACTGGACTGTTATCCACAGAAGGCTGTGCGGAGGAGGGTTCTGCGCGGTTTGATGCAGAGATCGGCGTCTGATATCGCGAGCGCAGTGCAGCAGATGGCTGGCGACGGCGGCGAGGCCAAGCGTCTGCCAAAGAGACCGTTTCACGGCGAAGTAGAGGAGAACTCCAGCGCGACCATGAATGAAAACGTCAAAATGAAGCCCGGGAAAAAGACTCCGGCTGAACGGCGCGGTAAGGAGAACTCTGCCGCCAAGTGCACTGCTTTGACAAGCGGCTCTGCAGAGGCGAAGATGGACCAGACCGTAATTCACAGTCCCCAAACGCGAGAGGACCCGAGCATTTTCTTCGACGAGGACAGCAATCACATTTTCCCAGTGGAGCAGTTCTTTGGGAACATGGATGTTGTTCAGGTAAGCTGAACTGATTCAGAACACATGTTGTTATGATTCGGTATCAGTGCAGAAATGCAGCAAAATAGCGCTGTGTGAACTTAATTCCGAGCTGTGACCAGCAATTACGTTTGACTTTCAAGGTTCTAAAAAGAACTGATGTATTTAGAAAATATAATTTCATGTACAAACAGTTACAATTTCATGTGAACATTTTTACCCGTCTAGTGGAAATGGTCACGTGACCAGAGCTTTAAGTCTGTGTAGAGGCTCTATACCAGGTTAATTGTAAATATTACAAATACGCTTCATTTGAAAAAAAAAATGCTCTCTGTCTTTATACTCATCTTATCATATTACAACTTGTCTGGCGCAGTTCAAGTCCTCGTTCTGAACAAGCCTCCACATTTGCAGCAGCTCCTGCGGAACGAGTTTGTGCACCACGATGAGGCTACGAAAGAAGCACGGCTCCCGGTTCAGACGAGTCACTTTACGCTTAATGATCCCAAATGTCCGGAAGGCCAGATGCAGCTCGGGGACGATCTTCAGCTTCAGAAGGCACATGCCCAGAAACACATCATCAATGGGGTAAAGCTCCACACTCTCAGAAACCGCAAAGAGCTTGCTGGCCACCAGAGAAGACATGAGAAATCCTCCTCCACCCAAATAAGGTGGATAGCGTTTATCATACAGCTCTTTGGGAATGAAATATTTACTCTGGCGGTTTCTGATCGGTTTGGCTTCGAAAATGGTGTCTCCTACAATGAGGTTTTCCACCCTGTTCTCCTCCACCCTAAAGCCAATTAGTTCCACCAGGTTCTTGGTGTGGACAAAAACGTCATCGTCCCCTTTGAAGATGAAGGGAACTCCACTGCAGTAGATGTTGAACCATCTCAGAAAGTTCACCTCCTTTAAGGTGAGGTTGAAGAAGGTGTCCATAAAGTCCCACTGTAAGATGTCCCCGTAGGCACGGTCTTCATATTGGACCAGGGCTTGTAAATTTCGCGCGTCTTTGCCAGTGGCTGGAGTGCCTAATAAAAATAGTGTTTTGATTTTCAAGCCCTGGATTTCTTGCTCCTTTCCCCAGGTCTGCCTCACGGCTTCTCGCCGGTCATGCTCTTCGATAACCGATTTGACCACAACCAGAACATCCACATCACCGCTGCACTTCTCCGGGTGATTCAGCAACATTGGGTAGTATCTGCAATGTCTGTGCAGGACAAATTCGTGAAATTTTGGGCTCAAACGACGAAACCAGGCTTGGGTCTTCATCGTCGAATTTTCACGACACTGAATTTGATCCACGTCCCATTTTCTTGGCATGGGTTGTCCCACCGGCGCCAAGCCATTACCGTTGGATGAATTTTCAATGGCCTTTATGCTTTTACATGTGGGGCCACACCATTTGCGTTTCACGTCGACTTTGATATCTTTGAAATTCGTGTCCACTGTTATTAACTTCTGAAGCATCAGTAAAGTGGCAAAAACCAAAGTCAGGCTGACCGCAGTCCTTAAATTCTTTTTCTTTCGAAAGAAGAATTCCATTACGCACATGCTCCTCAGAGAGCAGTCCATTCGGGTGGCCAGTGGATTTGTCATGAAAAGTCAGCCAGGTCCGCTGTAATTAATTTCCCAAGTGTTATGGAAATATAAACATGAGCGAATAGTCCATAAAAAGGCATTTTGATAAAGCTTAAAAACTGTCTTCTCCACTTTCTTTCGTTTTAGTCTCTTGTCCCGTCGTCACTAATTGTCGCAACAGGTTCTTCTCGCTTCAAGTTCCATCGTTGAACTGCTGAAAATGGGAGGCAGTCATCCTGTAAAACAATCGTCTGTCTGCCCTCCTCTCTCCTCCACCTTAACGACACCTACCTGCTACAGGATCTCTGGTTACAAACGACAGCTGTGCAAGCGTAGTAAATGAGGGTCCCCAAGAGGAGTTTGAGTGAGAACTAGGCTACTTACTTATTCAATGTATGTAAATATTGGAGTTGAAGTAACTTCTCGTATTTTTAAAGGTTTGCAACCCACTTTTTACGTCCCTCTCACAAGCACACTCAGAAAGATGCTCGAAGATGTCAAGAAGTTGATTAGCACTAAACTCATAATTTTAGTATTGAGCTCCACCGTGTGGTTCATAGCATTAGAGTCAGTCAACACGAATTTAACGGCATGATTCTCAGAATTTACAATAGGCTACGGCTACGCCACGACACATAGTAGGCTACTGCATATGAAATGAGATTGTACGGTGGCCGAGAGAGCTCAACGCGCTGCAACTTAAGAAAACACATGCAAATTGAAAAAACACCTTTCAGTGTGAAATTTCGTTTATTAGGATAGGCCACTAAAACAACGTTAATTCACCGTTTTGGCAAGAGTCTCGCTTTGAGCTTGGTGCCTTGTCTTGTAGAATTATAATCAAGTTGTTTTTCACGGGTTGTTTTATAAACGTAAGTTTGTTAACTTTTTTTCCAGCATAGTGGTTGGGGATTTTGAATCATTTAGTGAGTCGAATCTTTTGAATCAGTTTAATAGAAAGATCCGTTTACGAATCCGTATCCGTTTACGAGTCGAAAATCGTATCTTTTAAGTTTTACATGTTCATTGCGCACCCCTTCTCTCCTGGTTGCGAACTAGACTGGTTCACATTTTTGTCCCAGTTCATTCAGTTTGTTCACGAACTAAATGATTACCTCTATAATGACACTTCTTCTTAGCAAGTTATATTTCAGTGGACTTGACAAGAGCATTCCAAACTTGTGTACCCCCTTCCCTGGCTGTCTTGTCACTGTCTGGCTGCGATGTGGCGAATGCACATTTAATAGACCTGTTTAAAGTCTGTAGCTAGCTGTGAAACGGCAGGCTCTGCAGAGTTATAAAGTCAACAGCTGCTCTCTTGACCCGATGAAAAGCAATTCACCGTTTTGGCAAGAGTCTCGCTTTGAGCTTGGTGCCTTGTCTTGTAGTATTATAATCAAGTTGTTTTTCACGGGTTGTTTTATAAACGTAAGTTTGTTAACTTTTTTTCCAGCATAGTGGTTGGGGATTTTGAATCATTTAGTGAGTCGAATCTTTTGAATCAGTTTAATAGAAAGATCCGTTTACGAGTCGAAAATCGTATCTTTTAAGTTTTACATGTTCATTGCGCACCCCTTCTCTCCTGGTTGCGAACTAGACTGGTTCACATTTTTGTCCCAGTTCATTCAGTTTGTTCACGAACTAAATGATTCATTCATTTGGTTTGTTCACGAATGATGGCTAGTTTATTAAAAGGCATATTCGATAAGTGCTGTAGTCGGTCTTTTCAGGCAGAAAAGCAAAAAAAGGGACCTCATTAAACAAAAAAACGTGTCTTAGGATGGGAGTGAACAAAAGTCTAAATCTTTGTTCTAACGAAACGCCACTCAGTAGCACAAACGTAATTTGTGACGGGAAAACGTATGTATTTGTGATCATACAGTGTTCCTCATAAGCTGTGCTCTCTTGTTTCAGATTGTCGATGGGAGCCACAGACTGCGAGTGCGCGGCACGGTCTCTTTAAACGCGCCTGGTGTGAAAAGTTCAGTCAAGGTCAGTGTCAGTCTACCCAGCCCTCTCCTCCCCGCAGTTTCCTTCTGTCGGCTACAGTAAAGCGCTACAATGTAACAAGCTTTCTCACGATGTATCAGCCACGTCTAAAACCGCGCTGATATTTTATTGTTTACATGTATACAATTATTACTGGTCTTTTATCCACAGAAGGCTGTGCGGAGGAGGGTTCTGCGCGGTTTGATGCAGAGATCGGCGTCTGATATCGCGAGCGCAGTGCAGCAGATGGCTGGCGACGGCGGCGAGGCCAAGCGTCTGCCAAAGAGACCGTTTCACGGCGAAGTAGAGGAGAACTCCAGCGCGACCATGAATGAAAACGTCAAAATGAAGCCCGGGAAAAAGACTCCGGCTGAACGGCGCGGTAAGGAGAACTCTGCCGCCAAGTGCACTGCTTTGACAAGCGGCTCTGCAGAGGCGAAGATGGACCAGACCGTAATTCACAGTCCCCAAACGCGAGAGGACCCGAGCATTTTCTTCGACGAGGACAGCAATCACATTTTCCCAGTGGAGCAGTTCTTTGGGAACATGGATGTTGTTCAGGTAAGCTGAACTGATTCAGAACACATGTTGTTATGATTCGGTATCAGTGCAGAAATGCAGCAAAATAGCGCTGTGTGAACTTAATTCCGAGCTGTGACCAGCAATTACGTTTGACTTTCAAGGTTCTAAAAAGAACTGATGTATTTAGAAAATATAATTTCATGTACAAACAGTTACAATTTCATGTGAACATTTTTACCCGTCTAGTGGAAATGGTCACGTGACCAGAGCTTTACGTCTGTGTAGAGGCTCTATGCTATAGTATCAAATCGATATATAGTAAAGTGTTAATTTATTATTAATTGAAATGTCTCATGGATTAGTTATGATACATGTCAGTTAATAAACTCGTTGCCCAGTTTTGAATATAAAAAGAGAAAAAATAAAAATTATATTTAATGATAATATAAAATTAATATATATGTGAAGAGTTCAGATGCAAAAGCCTCTTAAGTGCCGTTTGAAATTTTCTTATGAAATGAGCAGTTTATCAGGCTCCTATGTTTATGTTCAGTTATTTCACTTTTATGGCAATGAAAATAACCCATTGATTCTATAGTATCAAATCGATATATAGTAAAGTGTTAATTTATTATTAATTGAAATGTCTCATGGATCAGTTATAATACATGTCAGTTAAGAAACTCGTTGCCCAGTTTTGAATATAAAAAGAGAAAAAATAAAAATGATATTTAATGATAATATAAAATTTATATATATGTGAAGAGTTCAGATGCAAAAGCCTCTTAAGTGCCGTTTGAAATTTTCTTATGAAATGAGCAGTTTATCAGGCTCCTATGTTTATGTTCAGTTATTTCACTTTTATGGCAATGAAAATAACCCATTGATTATTGATAGCCATTAAAGTGAAATTACTAAACCTACACATAGGAGCTATATATATATATATATGCATACACGCGCACACACACACACAATTGTAGATTTCAAAGTTACATGAATTAAAAGTCCCCCCTACACAACTGATTTTATCAATATTACTTATTTATTTTTTTACTTTATTGCTTGCTACTTTCTTTTGAATCTATATTTGACCCCATTGTTATAACAGTAATGGAGGAAAAAAACATTTTTGTTTGTTTTTAGAAAAGACATGTAGTTTTATTTAATTGGGATATAAAAGAAGAAATACATTAGCTTTAAAAAAATGGAATTAAATGCTTTAAATATCAGTTGACGGCCCATGCAGGATGTGAACTTTCATGGCCCTTTGCCCCAGAAACATAACTCTGGTCTAAGTTAAGCTTCCAGATAAATAACATACAGCCAGATGTCTTTGTTTGCACACAGTAATCCTAAAATATTGAGGTTAATACAAGATCATGTAGGATTATTGCAATGAATGCCTGTTGATGCTTAATTGGGTGTCAAAGCGCAGCAGGTGTCTGATTTCGTGATGCATAAACTCAATAGCCAACTATATTAATTAATGCAGTTTTAATGTGTGAATGTGGCTTTGTTTTAAAAGAGACTGACCTGATTTGTTGCAGGATTCCCCAAGCAGAACCCCAGGAAGCAAGAGAATGAGTCGAAGAGAGTACAGGAGCATGCATTACTATGCCAAAGAGGACAGTGAAGACGAGCAGCTATGAGGACACAATTCCTCTCACAGTCACTCAATCTGTCTGCCACTGACAGGGAAGGAGTTTTATGCTGGTAAAATTGACTTGATTGTTTTAAAGCAAGCTATTTTATTCCGAAAGCCTTCTTAACATTTGAGCTACACTGAGATGCACTGCGTTGATTTATCAGTTTTAATGAGGTACATCAACTAGGGCAAAAATTTTTATTAGTGCATCCCTAATTATAAACTTAAGAACATTATATATGTGCCACACTAAACGAATGTACATTAAGAGGGTTTTGTGCGAGCTAAAACCATCATGTTATTAGGGTTTGTGCTGAAAGAAAGCTATAATTTCTGTAACTTTCTGTACACTGGGTTTTCTACCACTAGTCCTTTACTAATGTGCTCTGAAATCAACAAATACAGTTTTATCAGTCAAGTGCCTCAAATTTGCTGTTTAGACTTTGAAAGCAATTTGAACATTAGCTTGGACATTATGAATTTGGCACTTTTAAACATTCTTTGTTGAGAATGAATAGATTTGTTTTGGGAAAAAAAACACTTAATACTTCAGATTTGGTGCTGTATAAATTAAAATTAAAGCATGTAGCTATTTTGTTCTTTGATATGTTTATGATGTAAAGATCTTTATATTGGTTAGTATCTCAGATTAAGAGGCTATTATTGTTAGATATGAAAAGTTGTCATTTTAAACCAACAATTTCAAACTGTATTATGCATGTGGCTTCACCAGAAATTAGATTTGTCTGTATATGATGATATTTGTATAATCTTATTGAACAGAATTTGCACTAACTTCACGAGTGGCTCAAAGATGTAACATTTTAAAATGCAGTTTCTCTTCTACTCTGTACAAATTATGAGGTAAAAATTGTAGAAAGTTTATATTTTTCTATTGAAGTGATAAACCAATTGCTAATTTTTTTTTTTGCTACCAAATGCTTTGTATGTATATGACATACAATTTTTGTGAACATATTTAATGGCAAATCATCCGTGTATTATCATGTGAAAGCTACAATACTCCGTCCAGAGAAAATAAACCTCATTAACAGCTTTGGAAAACATCTTTTTCAATAAAGGCTTGAGTATATTTTGTACAGTAAATAAGGCTATTGTTTGTTGATGGAAGTACTACGAACATTAACTGTACAAGATGCCCTGTTCCTACACATGGAACACTCTTTTCAAAGACATTTGGTGCTTAAAATAAACCAATACAAATTTTAATATAAAATCGGTCACAGTTATAAAACCCTGAAAAATGTTTTCACATAATTTAAACAGAAATGGTTCTTTGGTACAAAAATTGGTATATAACTGAAACTAAAAGTTACAATTAAAAATGTGTGTACCTGAAGCACAATATAACCTCTTAATAAGATCAAATGGCCCTGAGGACCTCAGTACTTGCATCAGTGCTTGTGATTCACCAAAGCTGAAACTTTCACACTCACCCCTTGTCCAAATACCCACACTTGCAGTCTTAGCCACTTGAGAGCGTGTGCGCGCGACTGTCCTAGGTCTTAAAAACGCCAGAGCGCAGTGCCCTTAACGCACACTAAATCCACACTATCTCGAATACCGCTCCGGAGTGCTATTCGAGGCTTAGTGTATCCCATCATGCATCACGTTCTGGAAAGAAATCGTGAGACTTTTTGCCGAGAGGTCACGGAAACCTTTCCAATGCAAGTTAAATATTAATATAATAATTAGATAATACATATAATTTGGTAGAAAAACAGTGTTTTTACGTTTTATTGGTGCAAAGATGAGTAGTGGTGATATTTATTTTGTACAACATTTTCAACTGCTTTTTATCACTTAATTTGAAGCACCACAAATTAAAATTGTCATGTTATAGGGACTACTGAACAGACATTTAGAAGTTGATTTTAAAATGCAAAGTATTTAAAATCTAAATAAAGCTATGTAAACACTTGCGTTTTTACAACACTAGAAGTGTGTCCCATCAGGTAATGAAAAGTTCGAGACACACTTGTGGTCTTCATCCTCACTTGAACACTTGGGCTAAATACAGGAAATACATACAAGTAGTCAAGTGGTCATGTGCAAAGACCACAAGTGTAGGTATTTGGACAAGGCATAAGGCTGGCTGCACACTAGACGATTTTAAGGCCGATTTGCACCCCCGAACGATCAGAGGATGTGGCCCGATTCGCAGCTTGTCGCAAGCGATTTTTTTGTCCAACAAATCCTCCATTGTGTGGTGTCATTACGATTATTTATCTGCTCCTGATCGAGACGGAGTGTCCCCGAACTCGAATCGTAAATATCAAACATGTTTGATATTTATGACTCTTGATGGGCTGCCTCTGACGTGATACCCGCGATAGCCAATGAGAGCGAGCAAGCGTCACCTACCGGATGTTGCGTGCTTCTATAGCTGAAACTTGGCAGCCACAAACATGCCATGAAAGCAGAATAAATCACCCATATTCTTTTCACTGTGAAACATAACGCGCATCAGGAGAGCCAGCTGATAACGTTGATTGTCCTCTATTTGTTTTTCTTCTCTCCTCACGAGATCTCGTGTCACTGTGAAATCATTCCTACAATCGACAAGTGTGTGGTCTCGCGGTCTGGTCAAATCATCTAGTGTGTGCGTTCAGAGGATTATAAGGCTACAAATCTTCATGTCTGTGGTCTCCCATGGTTTTAAAATCGTTTCAGATTTGAAAATCGTCTAGTGTGTCCCAGGCCTAAACTGCATATTTCATAAGAGGATTATGGATGTGCTTTCATTTCACAGTCCTCCTTTAAAGTGAAGTGACATGTGACCAAGTATGGTGATCCATATTTGGAATTAGTGCTCTGCATTTAACCCATCCAAAGTGTACACACACAGCAGTGACCCTCCTGACCCGTTTGTAGATTTTTCGGGAGTCACAGCTGAGCTCATGGGCCCCTTTCTTGTGGCAGACGATATGAACGAGCTTGAGATTTTCCCTTGTGAATAGCAGTTTGTAGAAATAATCCATGTTTATATCGCCGCTCTTATTGCCCTTCAGTGCCTCAGCGAATGTGGGGATGACAGTCCTTTTCTTTTCTATCCTAAAAAACACCAGCTCTATGATTTCAGAATGTTATTCCTTATCCCTAAAATGTATTTTAAAATGTTATCTTTATCAGAATGGCTAAATACAGATATTTTGAAATGTACATCAAGATTTACGTGTACTTAAATGCGTTTTTATTTGAACATTTACATTTGAGATTTACTACTCACAGGTGGTCCAGATTCCAGGCTCCAGTACGGGTTTATTGAGTGAAGAAATGCGCATGGTTCTCATCAAAGGCACCCTGTTAGCGCAAAAGGCTTTTAGAATCTTACACAAACAGGAACTACTGACAAAGCAGTGATTGACAGATGTTTTATTTTTTCCTTCAAAGAAAAATGATGCTATAATGAACTAAATAAGACTCATTAGAAATGACACCTGGCAGGTGAACCAGCCCTCTTGAGTGCAGAGCCTGTGGATGTCCCTCTCCGATCTGTCGACATAGGTGCCATTATACCGTGCAGCCTTCAGCTTCTCTGCCGGGATCTCCACCACCTTTTTATATTCACTTTTTGTCTTGGCATTTGGAATAGTCTGCGTATATCCATCAACCTACAGACAGTGAACAATACATCTCCTTCAGAATAGCGGCAGGCCTCCTTTGCTGCATGAAATAAATGATAAACTCCACTAAATAAAATAAATATCTTCAATATTTCAGTGCCGTTTGTCACACCTCTTTCAAATATCCTCGTATTCTGCTCTCACAGTTATACTTAATATAAGCAGACTTGGTTTTAAACCGGGCATCAATACCTGACATATAGACATGAGAAAAAAATGAAAAAATAAAACCGTACAAATATTCGCAGTGCGAAACAGAACTTGGATCAAAGCACCATCGAGCCACACGGTGGCGGTATATGGCAGCCCTGCACTTTTCAGCGACAAAATGCTCTTTAACTCACCCTGGCAACGGCTGACAGACGCCATGGCAACCACTACAGAGAGATTCCCTTCCTGACAACTAGCTGAGCCCGCATTTTCATTATATGTAAGTTATTATTATTATGAAAGTAACAGTGCGTAGAGCCTGTCAGAAATAGTTATTGTGTAAAATTAGCCTAGTTACATGCGACATGCGTTAGCAGGAGAAAAGAAAGAGAGTTGTGTACTGCAGAGACTGAAATTAATGAGCAGCCTAAAAAGTCTCTGCGTGATTTAGCTTCGCATTTCGTCAATATTCCGGATTTGATTTTAATTAAGTAACAAGCACTTCACTTCGCCTACGGGAATGATTTAACAACATGTGAAGCTTTTTGGCGTTTTCAGGGATGTTTGCCAGGGGACATTAACCCTCACTGACCGACCCCTTTTAAAGGGATAGTTCACCCAAAAATGAAAATTCTGTCATTAATTACTCACCCTCGTGTTGTTCCAAACCCGTAAGACCTTCGTTCATCTTCGGAACACAAGTTAAGATATTTTTGATGAAATCTGAGGGCTCTCTGACCCTCCCATAGACAGCAAGGTAACTACCACGTTCAAGGTCCAGAAAAGTACCAAGATGATCGACAAAGTACTCCATGTAACATCAGTGGTTCAACTGTAAAGTTACGAAGCTACGAGAATACTTTTTTGTGCAAAGAAAACAAAAATAACGCTTTGAACTTGCGGACGCGCGTTCACGACAGTACCATGATGCGAGCGTGTGGCGGCGCCAGCGCTGACCCAGATCCGGCGTGATGACGTCATTACGCCGGATCTGGGTTTGGCTTGCCGCGATAGACGGTGCTGATGGTGATACCGGTGTTAAGCCGCAAAACTGGTTACGTCACTTGCCCACCGCGTCACCGACCCCCACCGTCGTTTTAATTTTAGTATCGGTATCGGTGCATCTCTATTTTATATACACGCTAAAATGAGTTTGACGTTGCTTTCAAGTAACTGCCGCTAATTCGAAAGTGAAAGTAAAATGCGCACGGCGCTTTTAAGCTATTTAAAAGCGAAGGAAAGCGAGGAAAAGAGGAAAAATTCAAACGAACAATTGCTTTACTTCGAATTGCCGCTATTTGAAAGTGAACGTAAAATTTTGTTATAAAATTTATACCGGTGATACCGGTATTACCGGTGTTGTCACACGTCGATTAACCGGTGGGAAAATTTCCTCACCATCACAACCCTAATCTGGGTCAGCGTCGCCACACGCTCCCGTCATGGTACTGTCGTGAACGCGACTCGTGATCTTAAATTGTGTTCCGAAGATGAACGAAGGTCTTACGGTTTCCAACAGCAGGAGGGTGAGTAATTAATGACAGAATTTTCATTTTTGGGTGAACTAACCCGTTAAGAAACGTTCCCTTGTTGATTAATAGTTGTGAAGAAACTCCGCACATGTCTGACTGGAAAAACGCTTTCTTGAGAAACCGCGTGATCCCGCCTCACAGTCAAACAGATAGGCAAGCACCAGGATCTTCTCAAGGTCTACAGCTGGTCTTCAAACAGATTGATGGACTTCACGTAAAACAGATGTTTATACATGCTATGGAAAAGTTAAGATGTATTGTTAGATTGTGTTACTAGTCATAATTTCTCATATTTTCACTTTTAACCATCAGGTGTACCCAGTGCTTGAAGTGGGAAAAAAGAAGTGCCGGTGTTGTGCCCAATTTTGACCCCCGTGGGAAAATTTCCTCACCATCACAACCCTAATCTGGGTCAGCGTCGCCACACGCTCCCGTCATGGTACTGTCGTGAACGCGACTCGTGATCTTAAATTGTGTTCCGAAGATGAACGAAGGTCTTACGGTTTCCAACAGCAGGAGGGTGAGTAATTAATGACAGAATTTTCATTTTTGGGTGAACTAACCCGTTAAGAAACGTTCCCTTGTTGATTAATAGTTGTGAAGAAACTCCGCACATGTCTGACTGGAAAAACGCTTTCTTGAGAAACCGCGTGATCCCGCCTCACAGTCAAACAGATAGGCAAGCACCAGGATCTTCTCAAGGTCTACAGCTGGTCTTCAAACAGATTGATGGACTTCACGTAAAACAGATGTTTATACATGCTATGGAAAAGTTAAGATGTATTGTTAGATTGTGTTACTAGTCATAATTTCTCATATTTTCACTTTTAACCATCAGGTGTACCCAGTGCTTGAAGTGGGAAAAAAGAAGTGCCGGTGTTGTGCCCAATTTTGACCCCCTGCCAAATTATTACCCCCCTCGTTCAATTCGCTACCTGATTGGCTAATCCTAACCCCTCCCCCACACCTACTCCTAAACCTACCAATACTGGGGGAGGAGGGTCTGGCAGGGGGTCAGAATTGGGTGCAACAACGGTACCATTTTTTATAATTCACAATGTATGTATAGTGCCACAATCAATCAATAATTAAATAAAAGTTTTCAATACAAATTAGCACAAGTCAATCTGCGATACCAAACAGTACCACAGGGAGACGCCAAAGACCACTAAACCTACTATATGGATCCATTCAGAATCGCTAAACCTCTGACCACCTTCAGCCAGCGTCTATTATAAAACACTCTTGCTTTTAAGCCAAAAACACGCTGAACAGAATAATTGAATGACATCTGGACGTAAGTCACTATTCTCTCCACAATCTCTGATGAAAATGTAAACGCTATATAAATCGCGATTCATTCGATTCTTAGCGTTTTAAATCAATTACTGTCCGAAATCGGCGATTCACGATTCAAAAGTCATGTTTCAAGATCGATGCATATGCATCGTCAGGGTTTGTAATCGATGCATCGATAAAACGTGTGAATCGTTACACCCCTAATATATATATATATATATATATATATATATATATATATATATATATATATA